ATCAACACATTATGACCTTAAGAGATCTAATCATACTTTGCGAACATATCATTACCCACCCAATCTCAAATAATTACTCTCTTCCTCCCAATAATTTCAGTTTTGTATAATATTCATAATAAAGACTTTTCAATAATTTTATCATACATAGCTAGTAGGATGCACTTATCATTATCATTTATTGTGTTCGTCTATCTTTCTCGCTCTCATATATATGATATAACAAAGTGTTGCTAAACCAGTTAAAAATCCATAAAAAATACTAAATAAACCAACATTTGCCCCATAAAGAAAGCCTAAAATTCCTTTTGTCCAATTATATGACAATTTAAATTGTTCTCCATCAATGCAAAAATAGCAAAAAGAAAAAAGCACTACGATAAATTATCCTATAATGGTTAAGTATAAAATAGCTGTTAAAACTGCTGAAGCCTTCACATCTTCCGAATATTTAGATGCCACGTCGATTAAGAATACAATAACTCCTCCAGCACCAAAAAGAAAACCAAAGTACATTTAAGTATACCCTCCTTATTTTATGTAATTATTTGGATGAGATTATCTTATCCCTGCTATGTATATTAATTCAAAAGAATTTAAAACCAAATTTCCTATAAAAAATGCTAAAACCACTATTTCTATCATAGAATTAAATGTCCATGCCATATATATTGTTGCAATTATCAGTTGAAGAGTGTCCATAATTTTAAAATTTACTTCTCTATCATATACATCTGATTTCCCAGTATAGAAATATTGTTTTTCGTAGTATAAGATGTAGACATGAAAAACAAACCATGCAACGACCTATGCAATAAATTCACCCACTGGGTATGTCCTTAAATCTCGCATACTTATAACGACAATAAAAAATATAATTCTGCAAACCATCCCTATTGAAATATTAACATCAAGCCTAGATATGTCAGTAATTGAAGTAATTAATTAAAGTATTGCGTCAACAAGATCCAATACATTACTAATTGCCATTTGAAAAATATTAATTGTTATAATAATAAAAATATAAAAGCTTTATCAAATATGTATTATTTAAATTAATAAACAAGAAAATTTTCCCCATCTGAATCTACAATGAATTTACATTTATTAGATGAAAAAAATCATTTTATAATATTCAATCTAAAGAGATTAAAACTCATCTTAGAAAAGCTATGGATACAAGTTAAAATTATAAAGATATTGCTATAAAACGAAGCATAGCTATTTGTTCCTTAAAAATTCTCAAGCTTCGTGCTGGAAAATATATCATATTTTTGAATTAAAGTCTTGAGAACTTCTAATTTACTTCAGATAAATTAAAAAGAATTTCCCTTCAAAATTTCTGCCCACATCTAATCCTAATCCGAAAATTCTTTAATTTTAATTTTGGATAGAAAATTAATCTTAATATGAATTTTGGATACAAATTATAAAAATTTTCAGTATATACAACCTAAATATATATATTACATAATCTTAATTGCATTTTCCTTAAAAGATCAGCTATTTTAATTTCCTTTTTTTCTTATCCAGTAATTCTATCTAATATCAAAAGATGAATTGAGCCTAAAACAAACAAAAAAATTCAAAATATAATTGATTGCTTTTTGAATTTGCTTATGACTGAATTTTCAGCTACAATATTTATCTGGTGTAAAATCAAGTCCATACTTTCAAATACTTCCAGAAATTAAATGATATTGGATATTATTCAAATCTTAAAGCAATGTAGTTCTTTTTAAAGACATGATATTTTAAATTCGATTTATTTAAAACTCACAAAATTCTTATTATAACATTTCAAACCGTATTTATTTAACAAATAAAAGGGTTCCTGTTAATTAAATAAAACCTTGACCATAACAAATTTAGGCTTTCGGATAGACTATTGTATTTGCTCTTTTTCAAAATACTCAATTCTAAAATGTTAAGATATGATTCGGTCCAATAACTTGAAATTACATTAAAAACAATATTCTGTTACGATGATAGAGGTTGATCTTTAGGGAATTAATATACTTTAATTAAACCTTACCATAGTTTCAATAAGAATATTCGTTAAATCGTTCTTAAATTTTTTATTTTGAATTAAGTTTTATATTCTAATTTCAGTTTTTCGAATTGAGTTATTTACATCAGATTGATAAATTTCATTGTGATAAAATGAGTATGCCTTAACAACGTTTATTCGCAAGATAATTTTCAATTTAATATTTTTTAATATAGTAATATTTAATTCTAATTGACAAATTTTATTAAATTGGAGCTTATTATTATTAAAATTATTATTATTTAACCTTGATTAAGGAAACAACACAAACAAAATTCAATTATTTTAGTAACTCATTTTATGCTGTTCAACTAATCTCTCAATCACCTACTTAGTAATTTCGTTCATCCCATTTTTATACCATCATAAAATTCTTCACAGAGCGCAAATATAATGTTTGATAATTATATTTGTTTTGCAGTCATTATTTCATTGAAATGCAAATATATTCTTAGTTTTGAGGAAGTAATAGATTAACTTTATAGATAGATCGTTAGTATTTTAAACAATCTCAATATAGTTAGTAGTACTTCTATTTGTAATTGCCAAAGCTGTTTAAAGTATATATCTTTTCAGTTATTCCACTCTCAAGCAATAATGGAAATAAGGGTAGATAGATATACAATCATAATTTTTGAATTAATTTCCAAATTTTTCAAAAATTAATTGGTATTTTTTTAAATTTTGCATTCGATGCAAATTGAATTGAGTTTTTTCAGAAGTTTAAAGATATGATTCATCTCTTCCAAAAAGACCAGAAATTATTGATTTTTTACACATGAGGCTTAAATTATTTCATCTTACTTGATAATTGTCGAGATTTTGTTTAATTTAAGAAATATAAAATAAAAGGTAAAAAAATTGAGATATATAATTTAAAAGCAAAGATAATATTATTTCCAGTCT